GAGATGGGGGAAAGCAAGTTCTAGTCTTTTTCCTGCTTTCGTGAAACAAGAAAATAGGGAGGGGGAGAAGGTTGGCTTGGCTGGATAGAGCCTGATGACTTCAAGGGAGCAGAAAAGCCGAAAAGAATTATCACTTTTCTTGATTCATACACAAGTAGACTCATGTGGGGAAATCAAATCAAACAACTGATGAAAATGGCAGTAGGAAATCAAGCTCTCTTTTCAGTTTTAGGAGACATACATTTTACTTCAATGAAGTGGCACTGGTATTTAGATCTGAAACTATATTTTTGACCAAATGTGTTTTATATTAACGAGTCCTAGGACTATTTGTATTTTGAATATATTGATTTATCCACACAACATTTATTTGTATGGCTTCTAGTACAAGTGTGGAAGCAACTAAATGCAAATAACAAGGTGCATAATTCTCTCTCTTTTTTTGTAATAATTAAACCGTAACTCAATTTCAGTATAATTACAATGTTTCCTCCTTTTGCAGTATAACTGTAATTCTCAACATTAATTCTAAAAACAGCTTTATATTTTTACAAGTTTTCTATTTACAGGGGATGTTCCCTTACTATTTCAATGTGTTTGTATTATAGATTAGCCTCACACAACATTTAAAACCATAACTGTGATATTTAGTAATTACTTTGGAGGACCCTGGAACTAGAGTTACAGTAATTGCTTTTTGGAAATATGGTAACTTTCCAAGTTCTGCTCCCGTGAATAACTACGTAAATCCAATCATCTATCTGTTGTTTGTTTTATTGTTTATTTTATGTTGATGACACTTTTGGCAGTCCAGTGCTCATAGGGTGTCCTAAAACAAAGAAGTTTGTTTTAAAACCAAGCATTGGATAGCTGTAACAATCTTCTATAATTGAGTTAGTATAATTATTATAATTGAGCTAGCATAATTATTCAGTAATCACTAAGCAAACAACTTATCTCTTCAAGGTGCAAATTAATTTTCAGAAGTTATTTTTTAAAAAGAACATTTTTTAGAAATTTAATAGGGAGGAGAGTTCCAGATGTGCAGTATTATCACCCAAACGTCATTGCCCCTTGTAGCCAACCTACAGGGTTGCCAGGTTTCAGGCTTTGGCTCCAAGACTTTGCTTTTGGAGCCATTCCCTGGACCTCAATGTTTGGACCTGAAATCTCAAGGGTGCTGCCAACCTTGGAATCCCAGATTGTGGGGTTCATTGTCGTGACTTTGTGTGCTCAGTCGTTTAGTCGTGTCCGACTCCTCGTGACCCCATGCAGCAGAGCACGCCAGGCCCTCCTGTCTTCCACTGCCTCCCGGAGTTGGGTCAAATTCATGTTGGTTGCTTCGATGACACTGTCCAACCATCTCGTGACTTTAGCATACGCCATTAAGAAATACCCTTGTCCCTTTCATTACCTTGAATGTTCTTTTTGCTGCTCTTGTAATTTACCCTTTGGCTTTTAAATTCTTCGGGGAGTCTCCTGCTCTAGCAATCTCAAAAGAGGGCAACTGCCTGTCCTGCACACACAATTTTTCAATTGTTGTTCAGGCACCTGCCCATGTGACATCACACAGTCCCACCCCCCACACCCCTGTGATCTCAAGGTTTAGACCTAAAAAGCTCAGGGAATGGGTGGCTGCTGCTGTTGACTCAGCAGCCTGAGCCGCCCGGATCTTCTTTCCAGATAGCAGACCAGACCCACAGGAGGGCCTCTGAAGGTGATCTCAAGTACTAGGAAAACTCACCCAGTGGTTCATAGAAGCATGACCCTAATCGATTCAGAGCTTCAAATGTCAAGAACAACACTTTAAATGGGGTTGTCTAGGAAATGCATTGGTACCAACACCAGTCACCAGTCATTGATGGCAACTGCTACAGGCACTGCCAAAAGCCAGTCATGTTGCTGTCAATCATGTGTCCCCAGGGCTACTGTATCTATGGACATTTGGTTTTGAAAGTCATTGCCTTTAAAAGCCCTCCTGTGCAGTGGCAGTTGGAAAGCTGATTTGTACTGACTGCCACTTATGCAGCTACAGCTGCCCATAATCCAGGAAGGTACATGTAGCAACATGGGAAGGTGTGACTTGGGCACGCAGTGCTCTTCTCCTGCAACAGGCTGCAGAATCAATGGTTTGCCCACTGCAGAGATTCCCTGCTGGATTCTATGAAACAGGAGCTGTAACAAAAGTGCTTTGGGATGTTTTGTGGATGCATACTCCAGCATCAGGCATACTGAATCAGGAAGCAGAAAAGTACCATAGCACTTGTGACCGTTACTGTCATTCTCTGGCCCTCTTATAATCATCGGGCAAAACCATGGTGCATCGTTGTGACAATGGAAGGGAAATAGCATAACTCAACAGGGCAAATTGTTACTTATGAATGAGTTCCCACTTGGAGTTCTCATTGGGAGTTGTGTCATTTCGCTTCCACAAGACGATTTGGGCTATTGACTATCCAGGTTACTCTTCAATACAAGAGTGGATCTGGTGATGGAGTTTATAAGCTCAGAAATGATCTCAGCCTTTGGGCAGCTACAAATACTGGGATGTGAGCAGAGACCCAAAAATCAGTTTTTCTGGTTGGTCTTCCATACTTTCTGGTGGTGTGAACCCATATGAGCTTCAGTGGCATGAACCAATATGTGAGAAGGGAAAAAAGAAAAATAGAAACAGTTCTCAAAGTACCAAAATTATTTATTACAGCAGAAGAGTTTTGGAAATACCATTCCTTCTTTGGACACATGAAAGTGTTAAAAACGCCTGAAATACAGAAAAGATTATATTTTCTTGCAACGCAAGCTACCTCAGAGGGATCTCCTAGCTTTAATGAATATATTAAATTGTGATGGCTGTTCAAAATTTCCAGTTTTCACCAAAAATGAAGGGGGGAAATGGTCTGTGCAAAATATATTAGATGTAATCAATAATCCAATCACTCTGAGTCCTGTTTCATCCACCCACACACCCACATATACATTTGACTCTCGTACCTTCATTTTTGTTGGCTTTACAAACTAATCTCTGCAGCTGAAATCAAAGCAGAGCTGTGACTGGGCAACTAGTGTGTCTAGTTTGTTATAATGTGAATTGTTCTTGCTTTATTAACCAATCCCATATAGGTTCCATCAGAAGCAGTTCCCAGTAAGGGCCGTATTCTTGGGGGAAATGGGAATTATAACATAGCCTTGTTGGGTTTGATTGCATCTAATTGATCAAGGAAACAGGGAACAAAGGGGCAGGGATATTTCCTCTCAAGAGAAAGACTCTTAGAGAAAAAGATGGCTTTCTCTATCTAGCTTTCCAATAGTAGCAGGTGTTGAAGAGCTGCTCACAATCTCTTGAAATGGCAATTTCACTTCTGATATAAACCACTGCTGCTGGTGCATAGCAATATCGCAAGCCTCCCTTAAGTGCCAAAGAGTAAATAATAGATTTATTCCTGCCTCTTTGCCCATCTCCTTTAATGGCTGCTTGGAATGGCTTATATAACCTGCATAGAGCTCAATCATTCCCTCCTGTGCTTTTCCAGTAGCAAAAAAGATGTTGGTTAACCACCGGTGTTTTCACAATATTTTCTCCATTTGGAATTTTGGTTAACCGCTAATGTTGCCTGCCTGATTTAAGTAGGGAGAGCACAGCATATTCAAGCCTTCTGAAAAGAAGTTAAATTTTAAAAAGGGTTCATTGTGAAGAGACACAAACAGGACCATGTTTGCGAAAGCAGAGATGTTTGATCTCCTACTGAATTGTCATCTACATCTATAGATCTGTCAACATGAATTAACAGCTTTTGTCTTCTTCCCGTCTGAATAACTCACTGAAGCCTGCCCCCTTAACATTGTGCATTCTGGGTTTGCCTATATAATCTGCAACCCTCATATGTGCAGCTGAAACATAGCAAGTTACTTTATACATACTCAGTCAGATCACTGGTCTTCTATGTACAGTGAGGTCTCGACTTACGAACGGCTCGACATACGAACGTTTCGACTTACGAACCGCTCTCATAGGAATATATGGACTCGACTTACGAACTTAGATTCGAGTTACGAACTCTTTTTTTTCCTTTTTTTTAAAGCTAAGTCATCTTAGGTTAAAAGGAAAAAAGAAAAAAAATATCCCGCTCTAGTGGCAGCAGGCGGAATAGCAGCTTCCCATTAGTTTCTATGGACGAAAAGAGCAGATACGGATTAAATGGTTTTCAATGCATTCCTATGGGAAATGCAGATTCGACTTAAGAACTTTTCGACCTGAGAACTGCCTTCCAATACGGATTAAGTTTGTAAGTCGAGACCCCACTGTATATAGCCCAATTCTGTCAATTCTGAGTAGCCGTGGCTCTCTGGGATTCAAGCAGAATTCTTCCCTAGCCCTACCTGGAGAGCCCAGGTGTACCATGGTGGTCTTCCCATTCAAGTACTAACAAGGTGCGACCCTTCAAAAAATTAGATAAGATTGGACATGTCCAGGGTAGCATGGTGGCATAAGCTGCCAGTATGCCTGCTGATGCTGGAGAGACAGCAATGCTATTTCTTGCCACACCATTCACCTGTTGTTACAGTGCATGAACCTTCCAGTGAACAGTTTGGAAACTGAAAGGCAGTTGAGACTTCTAAGGGCTGACAGAAAGCTCGTGTTCACTTCTGCTTCTCCCAGGTGACTCGGGTCTGTTTTATTGTACCTTTCAACTTACTGTGGACCGTCTTAGGAGTCTGGGAGAGAAATATTCCAAATCAGAAAATACTGAATAGACATATTGGTTAAAATCCAGTAGTAAGTAGCCTGCTTTGAATCAGAGGGGATTTGGTAAGCCAACTCCTTTGTAAGTTCCGTTGATTAAGCGGGGCCACTCTAGTTGAGACTTACTACTGGATTTCAGCCACAACAATTTCTAAATTAAGACTGGCTACTGGCTTTAACAAAATTCTTCTGAAATACAGCACTCTGTCATAGCAGTTTCTCCTTCAGTACTTCTGTTTTCTTTTCTTTACATTCTTAGGTCCTATCCTTGGGAGCAGATGTACTGCCAGAATACAAACTTCAAACACCTCGCATCAACAAGTTTACTATATTGCACTACAGTCCGTTCAAAGCCGTCTGGGACTGGCTTATTTTATTGCTGGTGATCTACACGGCCATATTCACCCCTTACTCTGCAGCCTTCCTTCTCAATGACAATGAAGAACAGAAGAGGCGGGTGTGTGGCTATTCATGTAACCCACTGAACATGGTAGACTTAATTGTAGATATTATGTTTATCATTGACATTCTCATAAACTTCCGAACAACGTACGTAAACCAGAATGAAGAAGTGGTAAGTGACCCAGCAAAAATAGCAATTCACTACTTCAAAGGCTGGTTCCTAATTGACATGGTTGCCGCAATACCTTTTGACCTGCTGATTTTTGGATCTGGCTCAGATGAGGTAAGCTAAACAGAACAAGCCATTCATTTGTTCATTTGTTCATTCATTATTGGATTTATGTGATGCCATCATATATGCATGTTTCATATTTCAAGTTAATTTGTCTTTATTAGAACCTTACTCATTTCCAATATACAGTGGTACCTCGACTTAGGAACTGAATCCATATTGGGACTGCGTTCTTAAGTCAAAACGTTCTTAAATCAAAGCACCATTTCCCATAGGAATGCATTGAAAACCATTTAATCTGTATCTGCTGTTTTTCATTCTCAAGTCGAGGCGCTGTTCTTAAGTATAAGCATTATTTCCCATAGGAACTAATGCAAAGCCAGTTAATCCGTATCTACCACTAGGGGACAAATTTTTCTTCTTCTTTTGACCTAAAGTGAACTTAGGTCAAAAAAAGGGCAGGAAAGATTTCTTCCTCTTCCTTTTTTTTGGTTCTTAAGTCAAGGCTCTGTTCTCAAATCAGAAGCAACTTTTTGCGAATGGAGCCGTTCTTAACTTAAATCGTTCTTATGTAGGGACGTTCTCAAGTTGAGATACCACTGTAAATTGGAGATCCTGACAAACTCAGTTCAGACATAATGATAAACCATAGTTTCCTTGGCAAGCAAGGAGAAAATTAGAATCAACTTATTTGTGACTCACCATTGTTACCTAGGTGTTACCTAGGTGCTGCAAACCATGGAGTATACAAACTATATGTTGCCTTCAAATCAAGATGATTCCCACACCAGGATCAAACTATGGTTTGAGGTCCTAGTTTGAGGCAGGGCTGGCACAACACATTGTACTGCTTAAGGCTACCACTGAAATGGCTACCTATGCATGGTGGTGGTGGTTGTTTTCTGGTGCTGCATTTGTGGCAGCAACCAAGGTCCTCCCAATTATTCATAGCTCTCCTTGAAGGGTCCTTGGTCAGTGTGAGACATAAATGGGTGAGACGGTCACAGAGACTGCATGTGTGCTGTGCAACAGGAGAACAGTGGCATCAACATTCTCTGTAGCTACTTCATCCCAAATGTCTCACTCTGAGAAAGGTCTCCCAAAATGACTCAATGGGTTCAACGAGTACTTCAGAGATCCTCACAGGCACTCATGCTGTGGCAACAGCAGGTGATGGTCTACAGTTAGTGGATGGGATGATGGCAGCAGCAACAGAAGCTAGAGCCACCCAGGAAAATAGGACCCATGACAGCAAACAGGAACAGGCAGCCTTTTTAATGATAGACGGGGATGTATGAATTAAGTGACTCAAGATTAGGTTTCCCCCTTCCTCGTGGGAAAGCCAGTCTTGGTCTGAGATCAGATCCTGTTCAGATTAAATGCCAAAGAGTAGCTTGTGAAGGCCAGTGATCATTAGAACATTGAGGAACATTTCCGAGCATGTAGATTTTTGTATATATTGACAGGAATCATACCTAGTCATACCAAAAACTAAATACTGGTTCGGGGCAGTTAGACTAACTTCTTTTTTTAGCATTTCTCTTTGAGAAGCAGGCCTTGATGCTCTATCCGAAAATGCCACATTTGAAAATGTCACCCAGTTTAAAATGGCTTGTCATAGAATAGAGAAGGCTGGAGTCTGCTGCCTGGAAAAGAACAGAAACAAGGCCAATTCACAGAATACTGTGCGGTTAGACAAAGAGGACCGCCTACTGATGGAACAGAGGGTGCTGGGCAAACCGGTTCTTTGTTTGTGCTGCAGGCTCCCATGGGGCCTCCAGATCTTCCCTTGAGGAGAGCTTGTGGCGGGGAAGGGAATTGGATGAATAGGAAAGGAAAAGGCCATTGCATGGAAAACAAGTGAAAGAATCTTTTATTTGAAGGTGGAAGATGTAGGAGAGTCAATGTAGTCTAATGATGAATAGAGTGTTCAAGTCAGAACTCAGGAGATCTGGGATGAAATCCCTATCCAGCCATGGAATCTTACTGGGGTGTGGCTTTTTTTCCTTAAAAAGCTCACAGACCCCGGAAGCCCTACAAGGGTCACCATAGGTCAGAATTGACCTGATGGTACATAACACACAAAAGATGTAAGTGTGGTGAGGAATAAACTATTGACACATGTTTGTAAGCCTTGTTTTTACTATGTAAATTGCTTTGAAAAGCCTTTGCAGTGAAGTGGTAGATATTCCAAGGAAATAAGTACAATAGAATGCATAAAATGACTAATAGGTTCCCTCCACATGCTGTGAATTTAACCTATTTCAATGGGCAGAACATTTAATGACAGAGTCAACAGGCCTTATACACTGAGGGAAGCCCTTTCCCCTCTTTTCCTGTGAATACATATAGCACTTATTTTCCTTTTTTATTTGTTATGTAAAGAGAGATCTTTGGTGACGGCATAGGTCTCACTTCACTACTGCTTCCTCTTCTCCCCTTGTGCCCTTTGCTTTTAATATTTCTGTGGAGATCCTTTTACAGGAAGAACAATAGAGGATGTAAAATGTCCACAGCGTGGTATCGTTCACAAATGGCCATTTCCAGTCATTGAGGTATCTTTGCAAAGAAATAGATTTCCTCATTATCTCGAAGTCCAGCTAATAACAGAACCCCTGCTAGCAGCTGTGTCGACTGCCCTCTTTATGAAGTGGCGTCCCTTCCAAAGGCAGAGGCAGGCAGGCTTTCCAAGGCTGAGAAATTCTGAGTGTCCGGTTGCTTTTAGAAAGGTCATGAAGCAACAATTGAAATACTTCATGGCACAGGGGGCGAAAGGTTCTGTTTCTGTGTCGGCTTGCTGAGGTAAGAAGCAGGCCAGCCAGTTCCCACAACTGGGTGACAGCTTGTGACGACTTTACTTCAGAGGTTCATGAAAGCAGGGTTGTGATTTATAAATAGAGCTACAGATTCAGTTTGGCACTAAAACCTGTTAAAATACGGGGTTTGAGGCACTGTCATTAAGTGAGCACCATCCAATAATCACATTCCCTCTCAGCACATGTGATACAGTTTTCAGAGAAGGATCCTCACCTTCGAGCAGAGGTTCTGTGGTAATGGGGCCATCCTTGTTAATGGACCCTATCAATAATTTATCCAGCAGGCAGAAATTGCCGTTTGTAAATGTAGTAGCACTTTCTTCGCAAAAAAAAGTGGAGGGGGAAAGCAGGAATCAAAGCGCTTTGATCCCTCCCGCCTTCCTTACTTCGGTGTATAAGACAACTCAATTTTTAATCTAAATATTTTACACGAAAGTATAATCTTATACACGGAAAAAATATGGTAACTTGCAAGAGGCTCTTACACATTTGGAAATCAAAGGGTGATTAAAGGAGGAGCTTCAGCTCTCGTTGGCTCTTCCTTTCCATTTTTTATTTTTTATTTATTTTATTTTTTTGACCTCTCATTGGTTGCCTTGGGCAGGAAATTATGAAGACCATCTCCAAGGTGATCATTGGACTACCACTGATTCTAGAATAAGATGGGATGTTACAGGAATGGAGAGATCATACAGAGCCATAACCATCTCCCTACCACCACCACCACCACCAATCTGCCACCCTCCGATGCCCAGAAGATGCCCTGTTGTGTTTTGTTTTTTGCCCCTCTAGCCTGGATGGAGTGTATATGGTCCTTTCTACCTCTCCAAGATGGGACCTCCCTTTCTCCTACATCTTTATCATCACTCGGCTGCCCTCCCAGGGACTAGAAGACTGCAGCCTTGCAAAGGCTACAGAACTATAGAACAGCCTTTAAAAAAGAAGTATCTAATGAAAACAAATGATACAGAGAGAGCAAAACTGCCTGGGCGGAAGCAAAGGTCTGATTATTAGTATTGGTTTTTACCTCCAGAAGAAAACACATTTAGACACACATTTGCTCAGTTAATTAGAACGCATTCTTCCACACAGCTGAATTCCTGTGAAATACCTTCCTTAAGTGTGGCTCCAAAATCAGACAGGCTAATGCATCTTAATACATTCATGAGTCTGGTTCATCACATCTCAACATGTATTGTTCCCTTCAAACCTAATTGTCAGTAATCATAAACCAATTTAGCAGCAGAGATCTGGAAATTGAAGGCTGAGGGTTCAGTAATCAGAACTGAGACACTGATATCTTTAGGGAGCTGATCAGTTCCCTCCACAAAATGATTCCTTGTACTCTATGAATCTTTTAAAACAGAGGTACAGCAAAATGACCTACCCGTACTCCCAGAAGAGTACAAACACAGAAATCCAGCTCTGGGTGGATTCCTCTAAGGAGGGGGACATTGTGCTCACCCACTCTAAAAATAAACCTCTGGGGATGTAAAAGCTCCCTTTTAATTCAGAAAGAAATACCTGCCCCTTCACACTACAGCATTTGGGAGGCTCTGAGCTTTGTGCCTGCTTTTGCTAGGAGTTGCACAAGATTTTTTCCAGGAGGGAGTGGCAGAGCTGTGGAATAATAATTTGCATACAACAGAGCATGGACAGAATTCCTACTCCGGTCCTCTGAAGATGCCGGCCACAGAGACTGGCGAAACGTCAGGAAGAACAACCTTCAGAACACGGCCAAAGAGCCCGAAAAACCCACAACAACCATTAGATCCCAGCCGTGAAAGCCTTTGCGAATACAATAATTTGCATACTTAACATGTGGCACTACAACAAAGTCTTTGTCTGTTCATACTAAAATAATAACGAAACTCAGAAACGGAAGGGAGGCATACGCTCAGCTTGCCTCCCTTCCATTACACCCACACCACATGTGTTGTTACCATTCAAACTCCCTTGTGTTCTCGTGCTGAATTCTGAACTCTGTTTAAGTCTAGCCTTCTTCAGGCATTCAGCACAAACACTTGAGTGAAACTACAGAGGCCAAATAGTCTAACCCAGGACCAACGATCAACACATGTGTTTGGCATGCCTCCCCCACGGAAAATTAGTGACAATCACATGGGGTCTCTCTATGTATAGGGCTCCCTCCATGGAGACACTGACCTTTTTTTTGACTGGACCCATGCACTTATGGCAGGAGCTCTCTGTTTGAATATATATTTCACCATGTAG